GAGGGTGAAGGAGTTTTTAATCGTCTTTTTAATGCTGTTAGCTCATCATGGATTTTTACTGTGGGAAAAAAAAAACTAATCTGAGAACTGTTTTTTCTCATCTAAGGAAGTTCAATCAATCAAATGTTATTGCACTTCCATGGCAAGAATTGCATGCATGTAAGCATCTTCATTAAAGTGAATTAGTGTGAATCTCTCTCAAGCATAAATCTTTCGTCAACAATAATCTACTAATTTTAAGCATGGTCATAAACATAGAAATGCATGGCATTGCATGTTGCCAATATTTTTGAAAGACCCCCAGGCTAATGCAAATGAATACAATTTGTGTCATGCTGGAAACATATAAACATTTTCTGGTGTTTTTTTATTGTTGTTTTTTTTCCGATTAAAGCCAATGCAGCTTCTTTCTTCTTCCAAATAAGGAAATTAACCCACTTCTTTTTTGATTATGGTGGGGAGGGGAAATTACATCATGCACAATAATTTGCACTAGTTATAATGACGTTTGAGATATCTTTAACTTTCATTCTGCCTAGGCAAAACTGAATTACAGATATCTGCAATTGTCATTTAAGATGTGTGACGAGTTGAATGTCGTTTTCAATGATGTCATTGCAGATATCTGTAATTCAGTTTTGCCTAGTCAAAACTGAATTACAGATATCTCTATCTGTCGTTTCGACTAGTCACAATTACGTTACAGATATCTTGAATGACAATTCCAACTATCCAAAATGTAATTACGACTAGTCAGAAAGACGTTGTTGATATCTACAATGTTAATTCCGGATAGTCAAACTTAGCTTTTAAATGCTAAAATGGCTTGCCATAGTTGGCTCTTTCATACTAACAGATTGGCGAGCGTCCATCGTCCGCTAATCCCCCGCGATTTGCACGCGATAACACCCTGACCTGTCGGCGAGCTCAACGATTTGCAAATCGGGCTTAAAATCCTGTAGTGTGAACTAGGCTTATGTATGGGGTGATGTTTTTCCGCTTGCACACCAGGGGGCATAAGCGGGGGAATCACTGTACTTATGGAGACTATATAATGAAGTTACAGGTGAATGGCGACCAAGGGGGTAATCCATCGACCGGAAGTTGAAGCCGGCCGGGTACCGCCATCTTGTAGCAGAACTTCACTTGCGTTAGCATTTCCATTGACTACCATTCATTTTGGCGTCACTTTGACAGCGAATAACTTTACATCTGAGGCGTTTAAAGACTCCATTTGTCCATTATTTATTTCTAAAGAAACACGACAATGTATAAATGGCTCCATTACCTTCTATGTTACATTATGGCCCCGTAGAAACAGTTTTAGTAAAAATAGGCTAACGATTGCGTCATAACCACTCGACTCTCTGTCGCGCTGTACAGAAATTACCGTACAGACAGGAGGAGAAGCTCGCAGGCAATCGGGGGGACGTCCCGTCAAGAGAGAAGCCCATAGATAATGAGTCCATAAAAGCAACGGAATACTTACTCCTGCTCACTCACGATAAAGGACTCTTTGCTCATGTTCCCCGTCTCTGCAAGATTAACGTTGGCAATTTTCACGCACAGCTACTAGAAGAGTAACATCTGTCAGACAGGTTGCTCACGTCATCAAGCTTAGTTTGAGTCGGTCTGAGTCTGCGCGTCAGGAACGGAAGTGCTCAAAAATCGCTAAAAGTGGGCTTCAACTGTCTCAACTGAGTTCCAATGAGATCGCTCTGTCCATTTCTTTTACTGTCTATGATGGCGACAGGGAATTAGGATCTGAGTAAGCTCACAGTTTTTCAACCGTGCTTGTGTGCATATGTGTAGGAATGGCTGGATGGATTCTGGTGTGTCCTGCATGGTGTTTACTGTCTTTTGCTGATGTACGAACTCAACTTGCTTCAGAAGTGCAAGCAGCAGTGTTTTTTCAAGTAGTTTTATGTACAAAATAAAGTGTTAACCGCATGCCATGGCAGACCTGATTATTTTGCACCATCACGCGTTGGAGATGACCTCACATTCCCTCTAGTGGCTTTATTTTTGAGGTACGATCGCCATTACAGAACTCAAATTGAATTATATTGTGTAATTTACACATTTATTTACAGATTGTTAATTAGTCAATTTATAATTTAACATCGCTAGATTATATTCGGTCAATTGAAATTTGTTTTAACATAGGCCTTTGTTCCTGCCAAGACTCCTCCCTTACCTGAAAGGAATTTTCTTTTCATTTTCACCTTTTGACTTCTTTGGGGTTTGTGAGTCACTAAAGCTGCACTGGAACTGGCCTGGTTTCACAGACAGGGCTTAGATTAAGCCAGGATAAGTTAAATTAGGGAATTTAAGTAGCTTTTCCATAGGAAAAAAACAACAACAAACATTATTGGTGTGCATCTCCAGACAAAACATTTACTGTTACTGTTGCCTTGGCTTTTGGCTTGCTTAGTTGGGGACATTTAACATTTAATATTCAATAATATTATTGATCTGCCAATTTCTTTTAGAAACAAACTTTGTTATATTGTTTTCATGTTATCACTGTGAAGCGCTTTGATACAATCTGTATTGTAAAAAGCGCTATATAAATAAAGGTGACTTGACTTGACTTGACATATTTTAAGATATGTTATGCAAATTGTTTTCAGTTAAAACAGCTCACACATGCCTTTTAGTCTGGGACTAAGTTTAAGCCTTGTTTGTGAAAGTATTTCACATATTTTTGTGGTTAGTATTTTAAAGCTGCAGTCCGTAGCTTTTCCTCTTTGTCGCCATCTCTCTGTTCGAAATTTTAATTTAATTTCGCCATAAGTTTAATTATGTAAAGTGCTGCGAGAAAAGCCTATACATCTAAACATCTCGTCACGCGCAGTAATATCCGGCTAGCCGAAACTCCTCCTTTATGTGTACGGGTGTGACGTAATGACGCAAAGACATGCTCGAATTTCCCGCGGAAACCCACCAGTACCACTGGAATTAAAATCATTATTACAAGCTAACCGTTTTGAATCTAGCTATGGCAAGCAGATAGTTTTGACCACTGGCAGAATAAGTTTTTTTTTAATATAATTATTTTGGATTATTTTTAACTTAAAAAAGTTACGGACTGGAGCTTTAAAAAGCAATCTGCAAACTGAATTTTAAATATAATTCAGCAGTAGAACTCTGTACAAACAAGAAATCATGAAACATTACACTGTACGTGGTTGTATGCCATTTTCACATTTAAGACAGTATCCCTGGAGTACGTCCCTCTAGAACCGACATGCGTCACATGTACATTCTGTTTTCGTTTTCACTCTGCTTAGTTACCGGTTTACTGTGTTTCCGCCAGTCATTGGTTACCATGGATATTCATTAACACCTGTACACCTGTATTTGGTTCATCATCACAGTGTATTTAAGTTCCTCTTTAGTTAGGGTCATCTCTTTGATTAATAAACAACGTTTCTATTTGAAATACTTTGTCTGTCTTCTTCATCCTGGGACATACCGTTACAACTTGTGGTTAATGTTATGCACAATGTAAATAATTTTTATTGCATGGCTCTTTGATAATCCATAAGGTCACAACTTCTTACAACAGGTGATTTCCAATGTTCTATTTGCCTTTATAACTAGCAAACACTTATTTACATATTGTTGTGGCAAAAATTCTGTTAAACATCATCACTGCGTAAGAGACAACTCGCAATCAAATTTATAAAAGAGAAGTATTTATTCTTGCAAGAATAGGCCCAGTCGCCAACACAGCAGTTACCCTGTGGAGTGAGTGAGACACTGAGATACAGAATTGGGCAATCTTTATACTGCTCTTCAAGGTCCTTTCCCTGCAGAGCTTCCCATTAGTTTTCCACAGACAAAAGGCCCTTTACTGCTAGCTTTGATTTATCACTAACTAACCCTTTAAGCTCCCCTTAACTAGATGACCTTCTGACCTCAGAGGTCAGAGGTCCTCCTTGCCCATCTGGTTCTAGAGCTTCTCGCTCCTGCACTTCAGGTGTATAAACATACATACATTTCAGAGAAGTTCCTCCTTCTCACATCAGACTGCAAATGATAAAACCATATGCCATTCATTTGTAAGGTCCACTGAAAATAAATTTCCACAACAATATAAAGGATTATTCCAGGTTCAATAAGTTAAACTCAATGCCACAGCACTTGTGGCATAACGTTGATTACCACAAAAATATTATTTTCTTACTTTCTTTAAAAAATAAGTTTAACAGTGAATCACTTACATTAGAAATGAATGGGGCCAGTCTGTAAATGTTACAATCCACACAGTATCATTATTGCAGAAACAAGATGAAAATAACATGGTCTAGGTGTGGGGGGAAAAAATCGTATCTGTGTAACGTTATACACAATGTTACAACTTTGTTTTGGATACATTTTGACAATATAGCATAAAACCCTAAAAATGACAAAAGAACAACTTTACATCTCAAATACCACACATGTTTCAATAGAAGAATTAATCTAAATGCTTTTATAAAATCTTAAGCTTCACATGTTTGCTTTAAAAAAACAACAACATGCATTGTCATTGTAAATTACTCACCATAATCTTGATTTCTTTTCTTCAACAAGGGACGAGTAAAAAAAATAAAATATGTATATGTATTTATATATATATATATATATATATATTTTTTAATTTTATTTATTTATTATTATTATTATTATTTTTGTTGTATTGAATAAGATTATCTTGTACCGAACCTGTAACATCCCTGTAAGGCATTAAGCAGACACTCTTATTCAGAGCGAAAAAGTGCGTTAGCCTCACATGTGAGACTGGCATGGTCAACAAATGGCAGCCATTTTGTAGAAGTTGCTTTAAAAATACTTTTAATAACAAGAAATAATACTGAATTACTTCGTCTACTCTACAATAAGACTCCATTTTCTTTTTTACAAACTTATTACACTGTTATTTAACCATATAAAACACAGTGTGTGATCCTTAGTCAATCGCAGCGTATGTACTACAGTGAAGTTTCATCCATTTACTCATGTCCGTCTATCATTCATGGCACACCCTCAGTCCCTTGAGACAGGAAATAATCCATGTTATGCAGATGAATGCCCTCCTGCTCCTCTTGCTGAACAGGAAGGAAGTGTTGCTGGCTGTGCTTGGGAGGAGACATCAGTGACTTTCCCTCCTCTGGAAGTTGCTCAGATGCAGCAGGAGTAGGAAGAGGACGAGAGGAATGTAGGAGGAATGTAAAGGGCAAAGTCTGTTTTCCTATTTTAGACATGAAATGCAGCCTATTCCTGAGAAGACACAAGAACAAAATGAAAACGGGTAAAACTTTGACTTTTTAAGAGACGTTTCCAGGGCCAAGAAATCGCTAAATGGACATTAAAAGATGGATGTGATAGGAAAGAGTTTTACCTCAAGAAACAGACCGTGAGCATGGTGAGGGCTACAATAAAACACAGCCCAAAAACACATGACACGTACAGCCACACGGAAGCATATCCAAAATCATCAGCCCCAACAATTACCACTGATTCTGAGAGATAGAAAGAGTGAGTGAGGACAGAGGTGAAATGTCACGGAAGGCTGAAACATTTGGAAAGTACAGGACATTGTTAAACTCCAAACATGCTGTTAGTGACCATTTCCTGTTTTGGCTTTCTGGTAAGGTACCACATTAATTTTCTTTCTTGTTTCATAATAGATTTACCAGATGTGTGAGTAACAGTACCTGAAGGAGAACAATGAGATGTTTTCTTGCTCAGACTCACCTTCACCAGGAACTTCTCCAGAACCTTCAGGAAACATCTCAAAGGGTTCCTGAAAGACGGAAGAGATAATAAACATAAGGTTTAAATATAGTAATGTGAACGTATGAGTGTATGTGGATGCATTCAAGTGCATGTACAGATATGTCGGTGTGTTTCTGTGTGGTATTGTGTTGAATGAACTCACCAAGGTAATGCTCTCAAAGGAAGTAGTCGTCTCAGGAGCTACAAAGAAACCCAAACAAACATCCAAATGTACAAACATCTTTTTGAGGGCAAAAATTAAAGCTGTTGTTTTGCTTCTCCTACCTCAAAACTGTATAAAATATTAATTCTTATTTTTAGAGAATTACTGATTAAAATATTGAAAAAAAGTCTGGTCAATTATTTTCTTTGAGCATTTTCACTGTGTATTTTGTTTTGTTCTTGAATATTTTACGATAGAAAACAAGACAATGATAATGCATACATGTATTGATTATAGATTTATGTATTTTTTTCAATCTCTACAAATACAAGAGGTAATTATAAACCCTACACTTAATGCAATGTGACAGACTTCAGCAAAATGGGTCTTCAACTTAATGGTTTTTTTTTTTTTTTTTAACATTGTCATTTAAAGCTGTCATTTACAATTTTGGACATTTGCTGCACAGCCCATTCCTTTTTGAGAGCTTGCCCAATTGATAGAAAGCTAAATGTCCAATAGACAATCAGATGCTTTTCCCAATGCAAACAGTGTAAATAATGCTGTCCTAGTCTCCCAGTGAAGCACACTGGACTGGACCCAAAATAATGTGTTTAGAGACTTTTATCTGATGAACATTGATCTTTGCTCTCTTAAAATCAATAGTACAGGTTTGTGCCAAAGACTCCCACTAAACCATGGATTTAATCAGCTTTGATTAAAGTGGATCAGTTCAACAGTTTTGTATGATATTTTCACACACACACACCAACATTTCTATAATTTGTAAATAGTTGTATATAGATGTATATTACATAGACAGACAGACAGAGAGACAGATAGATAGATGGCAGGGTTTTCTTTGCAGTATTATAAATAACCATGTCCATGTATTTTGTTACCTGACCAAGTGACTGCAAATACAGTATCAGTCCAGTCACTCCAAACACCGTCAAACTCATCCTTGGCCCGAAGCTGCACTTCATACTGAGTGTGTGGCAGAGCATCATTAATCGTCCAGGACTGTTTTCTGTCTAAACTGTCATTTATCATCTGGTACTAAATACAAATACAAGCACTCATAAATATAGACTCATAACCAAGGTAAGCCATTGTGTCATTTCATCCAAAAGATCTATGCATAATTATATACAAGCCGTTCAACTCTACCTGCTCTGCGAGTTGTGGTCGGTATCTTAGCTGAAAATGCAGGACATAGAAGCCACGCTTCCAGGAACTGGGATAAGACCAGGATACGTTAAGCATATGCTTCTGGCCCTCAACTGCTCTCACCACCACTCTGGTCGGGGGGTCTGGCTTAACTACAGAGAGAGAAAAAAAAAGAGATTTTCATTTCACAAACAAATTGGTGGTATGCTTTTAAAAGTAACTAATCAACATCCTACAGGACGGAAAAACACACAAGCGCTCACTGATATCATGTAGCTTGAGGCTGAGTTCAGGGCTCGTGGCACTGCCTGCTGTGTTCGACACACACAGTTTTGCCACATGGAGAGCTCTGTCACCCTCATCCACGGGGAAAGCACACCAACAGCGGGACCGGGAGAATGAACAAGGCACACGAGTGATGTTACCAAACAATCTTTGGAAGGAGACAAAGGGAGGAAGAGAAGTGCACAAAAGAGATCAAATGATACGATTTTGTGTCTTGAAATATTTGGACATTGTAAAAACACTGTAAAAAATTGTATGAATCCTTTATATTATAAATATATTATAATATGGGGATAGGACCATTATAATATGAGGATGATTATTCATACAGAAAGGTTTAAATTACTGCCTTTACCTCACACAGACCTTTCATTTGGCTTCGCATAGTTTGTGCTTGCTGTTTAATAATCATTTGAAACGCAGCAAACTGGCAGCTCCAGCAGTAAGATGAAAATATTTATCTTGAACTCTGCCATGGAAACTAGCATGTATAAATCTTAAATTAAACAATTTAATAATCAATTAAAAACGAATTTATACCTGTATGATATTACAAGCCACATTGGACCAGCAGTGTGGAAAATGGCTGTGGACGCCATCTTTTATCAGAAGCGGGAATTCATTCAGCACTGCCTTCACAGTGCATTATGGGTATTCTCTAGCCGTTGAGCGTACATCAGTTGTACACTCGTTATTGCGGTGCGTTATGGGATTGAATGAGTGCACTCGATAACACCCACTACGGTTTCGGACACCAGTACAAATGGCCTATTTAAGGGTATAGGGGGCGATTGCAGACACAGCCCTAGTTTCCTAGTGTGTGCCAGATAGTCACTAATTTACCTCACCTGTTTATTTAGTTTCCTTTTTTACCCCTGTGTATTCAAACCCTGAGTTCTGTCTGTTCTTTCCTCCGTGTCGTCTTTATGTGTGTTCATTCTAATTTATACTCTCATACGTTTTGGTTTTCTTATTAAAACTTTGAATCAGTATTTCCTTGTGTGTTTTGAATAGAACACACCAGAAACCTGACATCACACAAAACTGAATGAAGATGAAAAATACAAGCATACCAATTTGGAATGGCATGACAGTATGTAATTTATTCCTAAAAATGCTGATAACTGTTAAATAAATTCAGTCTGTCTTTGTCCATTTACCAAAGACACACTCACCCTCTAATAAGAAGTAGGTAACACAGCGGCCGTGGGGTTACTGGATGTTTGGACGTCCAATCGCAGCGGACCTTACTGGTGTGAAACTTCCTGTAGCAAAAGACAGTGGGTCTCTCTGGGGGCACTGTGAAAATAACACAAGAATGTGAATTTCTTCTGTGTATCTGTAAATCACTTATACCTGCGAAAGAAAGTCCTCACCCCCTACGCTGATTTTGAACGTGGAAACGAGTCTCTCTCCTCTGTAGCAGCTGTAATTCCCAACATCTGCCAAGCTGAGATGTGGACGTCTTAAAATCCCTCCCCTTTCCACTCCAACATGCACTTGTCGTCCGTTGAGAGTCCAGCGTGTTCGCTTTTTGATTCCTCGTGTCACCCTGGACCCTTCCTCTTCATAATCATAGTCCTCATAATCATCTTGATCAGGATCTGTCCCCATGGTGATACCAAAGGCCTCTTCTTCATGACCAGCAGTTTGACTGACAGCACGCAAAACACGTCTAAAAGTGCTTTGTTCCTTTCTTATGGTTACAGGGGGTTTAACAGTGACCGTTGTGGCCCCTTTAGTTTTGATATATATACCAGAATCAGTCTTTTGGTATGTTCCAATTGTAGCATCTCCCTTCAGACTGGTTATTTGTGTAGCATTAGCATGGACTCTGTGGGACGTCCAGTTGACAGTGATGTCTTCTCTCTGCTTCTTTCTATATTTTTTATTTATGACACTGGTCGAAGCCAACGGCACATCGTCCACAGTGACATCGCCTCTGCAGCCAAGCACAACATTGCTTCCTAACTTCAAGACCAAAACTCCAGGAAGGGGCTCTGAAGAACAACACAGCAGTTAGATCCTTAATCACACTAATAATCCTTTACAGAATATTCTGTGCACAGCTGGGCTTTGTCACGTGTACTGTTGTCTAGTCTGAGTACATGATATTCATGCATGGGTACAGTACAATTGTACCCACAGTTCATTGCGTTGTCTAAATATGGAATAAAATTATGCAACAAAGAGGTACTTTTGCTTTCACTTCCTTTTATTAAAATCCCTCCGATTCTTCTTCACAATCACTTGTTCGCTGCACCAGTTTGACCTGATGCCAAGGCAATACAACACCAGAATGCTCATAAAAGGACTAAAGGTGACCACTATATATAATGTAAAAAAAAATTAGAAAGACATTAAATGGTAAATCTTTGTTTTTTTTATCTATCTCCAAGTTCATGGCACTTTCAAACAAAAATAATTGCTGAAAGCCTACAAAAATCTATACTACGCCCATATGTACTATGCTTCATTTCTATCTGCATACGCAAACACTTGCTAATACATTACCAGAAAAATACCCCATTAAATGCTCATTAATGCCTAGGATTTTATTTCATTTGTGAATGACAAGAGTTCCTTTAACTATGGGCACTTTTGGCTCTCGGGACTGTAGAAAATAAACTCTCACTTGTTTATTTAATTTGTCCACTAACATTGACCAATAGTGGACATACACGAATCACAGAACAATTCTATCTTTTGTTCCCTTAATTCCACGGTCATTTCTACCACATCTTAAAATATAAATTGGGTTTAAGAACATTTTGTCGTGGAAATCACTTTAAAAAAAAAGAAAAAAAAAGAAAAAGGCAGACAGACAGTTTTGCTTTGCTGAGTCTAAAATCATAGCTAGCATTTAATGTATTTGAGATTATGTGATCTTTACTTGATTGTAATGATGCACAATAATAAAAAAATCTGGTAACATTTTAGTTTAGGGTCCAATTCTCACTATTACCTAGTTGCTTATTAGCATGCATATTACTAGGATATTGGCTGTTTATTAGTACTTATAATAAGGCACATATTAATGCCTTATTCTGCATGACCATATTCTACCTCCCCAATCATACTTACCCAATACCTAAACTTAACAACTACCTTACTAACTATTAATAAGCAGTAGGAGTTTATTGAGGCAAAAGTCATAGTTAATAGTTAGAATTGGACCCTAAACTAAAGTGTGACCAAAATTCTCATCATAAGTGAAATTTATAATAATGTATCCTTTATTTCTCGCACATCACGTCTACTTTACTTCAAGCATGCTCTTCACTGACACTGCTGTCTATTTAGCAAACAAGTTCACTCTAGCTTTAATTCGGGGTTAAACCATGGTTGTGGTGGAAATGATATCTAGCAAAGCAAACACACACCTTTTGAGGAGCAAGTTGAAGGAGAAAACTTAATGAAAAGAAATTATACCTGCACACATTTTATTATTACCAACGTATTGGCAAAACAAGTAGCCTTTGTCAAGGTATGAAAAAGGCTACTTGTTTTGCCTAAACGTTGGTAATAAAAAGAGAGTGTGCAGTTATAATTTCTTTTCATGTGGTGGAAATGATGCCACAGTTATAATTTGTGGACAATGTAAATGTAGATCTAAGTAATTATAATGTAAATCATTGTCAAATACAGATATAAATAATTTATAAATAATAAAAGATAGACGTAAATAATTTTCTCAAAATTAAATTAAACGTGATATGGTGAGGCCTAACTCATTTTATTTTTAATGATGGTTTTTAAAATGTTACGATTTCTTTTTTTTTTTGGATGAAGGCAAAGTTAAAAGTTTGGAAGACAGTTTGAATGTGAATTTCATATACAAACATTAAATAAAGTGAATCTAACAGTTTTAATTAAATAGTGTAGCCAGCCTAATATAACCCCTGCCTGAAACTTAAGAAACAAACATTCTTGCTTTACTCTTATGTTCTCCAGTGGGCTTAATGGCTTTATTTATTTACAGCTCACAATAAACTATTTAAAAGTCCCGTAATAAAATGGGATTATTATTTAGACTATTAAAATTATCAAGGAACGTCTATTAATAGGCTATTAGCTTCTTTACCACAAACGCTCATCATAACCATTAACCACTGAGTCAGAGGTGAATCACAACCTAACAAGACCATAAAGGAGTTAATTCATGTTTTTAATGTTAAAACAGACTGCAATCCAAGTAAAGTATAACTGATTTCAGTTAGGCCTACTTAAAATTCTCGATTGTATTTTGAAATGAAATGATAAATTACCTTGTCGAGGACACAGCTCATCTTCTTGTGCAGACTGAACTTTAATCGCAGATACACCGAAGAGAAACACGAGTGTAAATCGGGTCCACATTATTTTTCACTACCAAAAAAGAAAATAAAAGAAAAAAGAATCAGCCAGCAAAATATGCAATATAGCGGGTCATAATGTCAAGCCGTTCAGCAAGTTAAAATTTTAAACAGCCTAAAAAAACTTATATACGGGCGTTTGATTAGTCTAAAGCTCTTACGTCATTTGAAACATTGTACAGATCTAGGACAATTCGTTTGACAAAAAATACTTTCAGTTGCTTCAAGATAAGATTAGCCTACGATCCGGAGCTCTTTTGTTTGTGAGAGAAGCAGAAGACTGCTGCCTCTTCCTCTCCTCCCGCACATTAGACTATCTGTTACTAACAAATCCGCTCTTGCGAAACTGCGAACCACAAAGACAAACAAGTTCCTATTTGACAAGGCAATGACCGAAAAACGAATTATTTCTGTTTGCGGTCAGGTTTACAGCTACTACAGAGAAGTAGATGACCCAAGATCTACTATGTCGATGTGGGTCACCAGAATATCAGGTCGAAATAGGCTGTCCGAGGTGCTGCTGGATAACAGTTAATTATTTGAAGTTATGTTAATGATTCCCTCATTTATCCCCATTTGACTGTCTGGCATCCGTAGAACACAAAATAAGAATTGTAAGCTTCAAGAACTTCGTGTTCGCTATTCATTGATAATTTATTAATAATCTGAACTCTAATTATCTTAATAATAAGATGAACTCTAGAACCGAATCAGCCCAATTCGTGACTGAATCATTCAAACAACAGTCTGTGGACCGTATGAATTGATTCATTTAAAAGATTCGACTCAAAAGATCAAATCGTTCACAAAACGGGCATCATATTTCTCTTGTGAGAACAGAGTAGGGTACCACATCAAACGGTGTTGTGTCCTTTTTGAAGTTTTACATCTTCAGGTCACATTCATTGCATGGATAAGTTCACAGTACATTTCAGGACACTTGAAAGTGAAAGTCATAGTTTGGAACTATGGTGAGCAAATTATGACAATTCTATTTTTTTTTGGTGAACTTCCATTAGAAATTATTTAGCAATTAAACGTATAGAGAAAAAGTTTTTTTTACTTGATTAAAATAATTTAATCAATCCATATTCCATTTTTCACTAGGCTCATTCACAACAGGAGGGTTATCTTCTGTTTACTTCACAGGTCATATGGACCATTCCATTAATTTGCCTAACAGACACTGAAAGAGACTACTATATTCTGAGTTGACCTGTAACCTATAATTGCAATTATATGTAAATACTTTACTGTGTGGATATAGAAAGAGATATACATTTAAAAAAATGAACACACACACATTTAGATTTTAAGGCATATAATTGTTACCCATTTAACAGTATGAGAGCTAGGCCTAACTTCTACAGGGAACAGGACAAGTATGGAGCTTAGTAACTTTTCAAACATCTTTATCAACTTTCTTGGTCTATCTCATAATAAAACACACACACACTATTGCGTTTACATTCTTATTACCTAAATTCAAATACTGGTAAAGGCCACATTTAGACCAGAACGGTCAAGGTGGATTCCATTTGGTAACTCTTCAGTGAATTATTTTAATACAACTTAAAAAAAAAAAGTCCAAACACATTTGTTATCACAGTCCACTGGATCAATGCACCACCGTTGGGCAAATGGCTAGACCATCAAGGGTCCAGCAGAGCAGAGTTTGGGGTTGAATTGGACTTCTAGTCAAGTAGTCAGGGTTGGAGCACCAATATGGTGCAAAGACATGGATGAGGAAGAACGGGTCCATCCAGCAGAGTCACGTTCTCACTGAGAACTGTAGCGTTGTATCACACAGAACCGCACACATCTTAGTGCTATTTTCAGCAGTGGGGAAAAACAGAAAATCTGCAGCCTTTTCTATCAGCACATGAGAAATTCACTTGCCCAATCTGAAGTAGATTTACTTATCTCTGAGCAACAAACAGACAAAAAGCTGAAGTATTTGACTCAGCAAAACAATATGCTGACAAAATTGTCCTAACAGTATGAGACCACAAGAAAGTAAGTCACAGTGAGATTAAAAATACGGAAGAAAAGATAAACCACCCTCAATATATAGAGATGAAGACAATACTTGAACTGACTGAGATTTCAAATGAAAAAGAAACAGAACTACTCAATTTGAATACAAAAACCTTAAACCTTTAGTTATCAGTAATACTTGAATAATCATTACTTGAAACTGTAATGTGTAATCAGGGCTTGACAAAAACTTTTTTTTGCTTACCAGCCACCACTGTGGCTAGTGGTTTTCCAAAGTTACCAGCCACTAAGCATTTTCCCTGGCCACAATTTTGACATCGTTACCATGGGGAAAAACTGCTATATAGATATCTTTAATATGATCTCATAATTTGGTGGGAGGTATATTAGGCTGCTTTAAGACTTTAAACTTTAAGACCTGACGCACTAATACTGTTACACGTGCGTTTTCTTTCTCAACTGTTTACGTTCACTTAAAACATAACTGACAGTGTTCACGTGAATACTCGCCAAGACCGGCATTTTGACATTAGTTTGTGTGTATTTGACTGTTTAAGCACAATAAGCCGTGAAAAAGGACTCAATTTAGTACTGAGAGGCGGCTTTATGTGCGCACACTTTGGGTGTGAGAACAAAATCTGCGAGAATTAGTAAAATTATGCGCAATCCCACAACGAAATTCAAGCCCTGTAACAGGAACAATATTCATCTGGAGCAAATGATATGAGTGAGTGAGGAGAAGCAGATTTGTGTGTCAACTCGCAGTCAGAGAGATCATGAGAGAGCGAGAAAGCGGAGCTGGTTTTGAGTATCTATTCTGCGGAAAATTTGTATTGGAAGCGTTTCAGATATTTTAGTATCGATATGTATCGAAACATTTTTAAAAACACTACAATGCACTTAGTTTATTTCAGATGCCTTTTTAAAAGTCTACAATTGAAAAATGTATATTTATACAGGCCTATAAAATTCAACCCACCAAAGTGGATAGTGGGAGTGACTGTTAGACGACACTGAAATCCACCATTTGGCGGGTGTTAATGTCAAGCCCTGTGTGTAATGTATCAATATATTGTGATATGTATTGATATATTTAAGCTAAGATATTGAGAGAAATGTTAATGCAAAAAAATGGGAGCTTTTTTCCTGTCTCCAAATGAAAAATAATGAATCTAAAAGTGCATTTGAGTGCAACGCAATATGTATTTAGTAAAACAGCTATAGCTGGTAGTCAGGTGTGATGTAATATCAGCCTTGGCAATGCTATTTAGCGGTTTGTTGTCTGATAACTTGGCTAGAATGAAAAACTCAGTCGTAAACAGCTCAAATAACACCAAATTTGTCCTTCTCACTGACAGGAAATCTGAGAATGGAAACAATACAGGAAATGTGAGGGGTGAAACTCTTTGTGCTGTCTGTATACACAGTTTGTCTACTAAATCTGCATCCATTTCCATGTGTGTTTTAAGCATGTTTACTCCTAAACTGTCTGGGGCGCTGTCTTCTCTGGTCATGTCCTCAGACAGAAACATGAGCATTCACATGAAGGATTCCAGTTGGTCTTGTCTATCTATCACTCGCCACTGGAAGTTTCTTCTGCAATGGAAGGAGGTCCAGGGCTGCTTGCACCACTGATACGAGCTCCAGAACCCTTCCACACAAACGGTACTTCCTAGAAGAAAGAATCAATAAGAGGATTAATCAAAAATACAAAACAAATGGCATTATTACCTACATAAAATGCACTAGAGTAAATGTACCTCTTAAGGCCCTGATATACTTCAAGCAAAAACAAAGAACGAACTGATGTCACGTCGTCAATAAAAAAAAATTCAGGCCAAAACGAAGTTAGTTTGGATTTCGTTTCGGGAGGTCAAAACAGCTTGCCAAAGCAAACTTCCTGGAAAAGTTTGCTCCGGCTAGTAAACACCTTTAAACTACTATGGTCCAAGTCGATTACGTAATAGGTAGGTGTGCTCTGGGATGTGTAGCTTTTCCATTTTTTTATTTTTTTTCTACTATAAGGAAGCTCTTCAGTGTGTTCATTCTTTTACTCGTGTATGACTTCGATGAACTGAACAGAAGAAATTACAATTTGTGTGGATACAATTTTAAGTATGTTATAGTATGTTCATTTCTTCAGTCCATCGAGTCTGGAGTGCCGAATTGCAGAGCTTGTGTAAACATCCACATCACTCACCACATGATCAGATGCTTTCTTAACTGCTGTTTTCTCACTAGTCATTTTTGTTGTGTTTATTATGTTATTGAAAGGAAAGCGTATCTGTTTCATATGGAATCACATTACTATTTATTCATTGAAGCTACTAACTAAAACTGTATACCTTCCTACCTAAAACATGGATCAGGGAGATCACAATAACTTAATACTAATTAAATAGTGTTGTGTACTATTTCAGAAATCATTCAGCAAATTTAGTTGGCTCTTAAATGTCCCCTTGGCAACCACAACCAAGTTCCTATTTCCCACAACAAATACATGCAAAGTAAAGAGAGGAAAAAATAAGTGGAAATTCCAAAACAGCTAGGCTTTCTGATTTTAAATGAACATTTACATAGTCTACACCACATCCCTAAAAGTTAATATATAATTTGTATTTTGTGTATTAATAAATCATTTGTCACACACACACTCTAAAATTTGGGTTCGGTAAGATTTTTGAATGTTTTTGAAAGAAGTCTCTTATGCTCAACAAGGCTGCATCTATTTGTAAAATATTGTGATATTGTGAACCAATACAAAATACCAAATAAACATATTACAATGATTTCTGAAGGATCAGTTCTTATTATTATCAATGTTGTGCAGCCTAATATGTTGTGATACATTTTTTCAGGATTATTTGATGAAGAGAAAGTACAACACTTCTTTTAAATAGAATATTTTTGTAACAATGCAAAAGTCTTTACTGTCATCTTTTGATCAATGTCATGCGTCCTTGCTGAATAAAACTAGTATTAATTTCTTTGAAACAAATTGTTTTACTGACCCAAAACTTTTGAACAATAATGT